GAGCTATACCAAACCAGTTTATCGTGGCCTCGCTTCGTATGACCGTTCCGTACAATAGACGGTCAGCTTATACTGGTTTTACATACCTTGATGCGTGGAGCTATACAAAACCAGTTTATCATGGCTCCGCTTTGTATGATCATTCCGTACATTCAACGGTCAGCTTATACTGGGTTTACATAGCTTGGTGTGGAGCGTTTCTTACTTGATCGCGCCACTTGAGACGGTGTACCGAGTTCTTAATGAGATTAGATAGACCGACTTTTTTATGGGATTAGCCGGTATACGAGCTGACGGATCACAAAAAGACACTGTACGACTGGGAGAAGCCCAGTCGCGAAAAACCACGGAAATTTACTATAGTTTACTATATATGTTTATAGAATTTAAGTTGCGTGCGATCTAAACAGAAGCGTGATAACTGCCTTCACACAGGTAATAGGTAGTTAGGTACTAACCACGCCTGTATGACTAGATCACTATTTAAACTATTAATGTGTACGCTAATTACACACGAATATATGTTTTATTCTGTAGTTGACATGACATAGTGTTATGATAGTAAGCCCTTGAAATTGTAGCGTTACAGAGAGATGATGACAGGGTATGAATATTAAAAATCTATCCAGTCCGTCAGTTAGGTAGTGAAAAATGTCGTCTTTTTTATTACGTTTTTTAAATAAAAAAAAAAACATCGCCCTACAGTAGGTTTTTCTCCGGTGTCGTGTGTGCGTTTACAAACATACAAGTTCACATACACAATGACACCCAGACCCGGAACAACAATTTGTGGATCACACAAAGTGTTGTTCCGCGCGGGAATCGAACCCGCGACACGTTGCACGGCAGCCGGTTGCCTAGCCATCGTACCAACCGTGCAGTCAGACGTCGTATACCTAAGTAAACAATACTTAGATACAACGAATCAAAGTTTAGGAGTGGGACTAAAAACGTCATTTCTAACGACACTTAGAAGTGACGTTACGCGATGAAAAAAGAAGCACTTAAAAGATGTCCGAAGCGCTTCGCATCAAGCTTCCTAGTGCGTACTACTAAGGAGTGGAATTCTTTGCTAGAATCTGTGTTTCCCTGAAGAGTATAACCTGGGTGTCTTCAAGGCCCGAGTGAATAGGTTGCTTATGGGTCAACCGCTTTATCGCTTACCACCAGGCGTGATAGGAGTGAGATAGGAGTCATACGTCGGCCTATCAAATAAAAAAAAGAAATACGAAATAGCACTGCAGCAACTTACAGTGCAACCACCATAAAACCTACCCCACTATTGCACATCGCACACTGCAACTGAATACAATTTAATAAATAAGTGAACAGACAGATCCCCGGCGCGCGCCTAGCTAATAAAGGTGAGTGCACACTATCGATCTAAGGGTGCGGCCATACCGCTCCCCGCCCGTCTAACCGAGTTTACCCTTGAGCTTTGTTACTTATTACTGCGGGTTCATTGCCGTTACATTAATATGGGTATTATAATTTTTAGGAAGGTTAAACCTGGAGTTATTATTTTACAATAGGTTCACCCCCTATTATATTGGGCCTCCGGTAACCTCATACGACGAAACACAACGCAAGTCTTGTTTCACGTCGGTCTTCTGTGAGGCCGTGGCAACACTCCGGTCGAGCCGGCCCATTTATGCCGTAGCATGGCTCTCCCACACTTGGTCCCCCTTTCTGATGCGTGATATTGGCTCTAAGATATAAGTATGAACCCTTGTCAGCTGCTAGCGGTAAATCTTTAATCAATTAATCAATCATAAAACTATAATACGATAACACCTGCCTAACCAAAGTAATAATAATAATAAAGAGATCAATATATTTATCATTAATATTCAGCAAACAACTCCTGCGCATAATAATGACGTAATATCGCCCGATTTGACCGACAACCGTCCGGCAATAGTGTCCGGCCGATGTCCATATAACTGTTGGTGCGTGCAAAGTGATTTATAGTTAAAGAATCACTGACACTGAAAATAGAAAAGGCAGGAAAATACTTCAGCATGTTCTAGAACTGCGACTAGCCACTGAGGGGTGAGCAGCAACCTAGCGTATTCTAATTGATAGAGGATAATTTTGCAAAATTAAATAGTAAAGTTAATACTATCATGCAAAGTTGACTGCACGGTTGGTACGGTGGCTGGGCAACCGGCTTCCGTGCAACGTGTCGCGGGTTCGATTCCCGCACGGAACAACACTTTGTGTGATCCACAAATTGTTGTTTCGGGTCTGGGTGTCATTGTGTATGTGAACTTGTATGTTTGTAAACGCACCCACGACACAGGAGAAAATCCTAGTGTGGGGCAATGTTTTTTGAAGAAAAACAAAAAAACTAAAATAATATTGTTATATTATGCAAAAAGTTAATACGACCGTGGAGAATTAACAAACGAACTGATTGTTCAAGAATCCGATTGTTTGCATTGAGAAGACTTTGACTATTCACCATTAAAAAACCCACTTATAGAAAGGTCAATTAACAGGTTACTTAAAATCGAAAATCGAGACCTACTCTAAGAAAATCGAAATTCCAATACGAACCAACCCGCAGTCGGAAAGCTAGTCTATTATACATAACATAGCAACCCAGACACTCCATTTTGTTACTATTTCCGTCATTCGAGCGGTAGTGATGTATATTAAGGAAATTGCTTTTACCCATATCTGCCTACTTTCATTATACAAGCTACGGGTATGCCATAGAACAAAGATTGATACAGTACTTTTTAGTGAATAATTAATAACTAGCTACTTCCGCGCGGTTTCACACGCTCTGCTCAGCTCCAATTGGTCGTAGAGTGATGTTTTATAGCCTATATCCATCCTCAATAAATGCGCTATCCATCACAAAAATAATTATTCAAATCAGACTTGTAGTTACGGAGATTAGCGCATTCAAACAAAACAAACAAAAACAAACACTTCCGCTTTATATAATAGTATATAAAGCGAAATTATATAATAGGCCGAAATAAAAATACCCTTAAAAGTTACCAGGGCTCCGGCTCGAAGTGCAGGAGAAGGAACGGGTTGGGTATTAGTCAGTAAGAGTCTGACACTCCCTCCCGCCTCACATAGGCGGGAGCAGTCATTCGATGATTTTCCCCACTTAAAAAAAAAGTATGTGCCCGACAGCTGCACCAACATAGGTCCAGTTCAGCATAAATGCCAGACATCTAGTGCCTGACGTTGAACTGAATCTGTGGTTGTTGGAATGCTGTGTAGAATTTCGTATTTACTATTAAAATTAGGTCATCTATCCATCTACAAGATTGTCAATTAGGTAAAAGGCAGGCACAAAACCAGATAGACCATTAAATTTCTAGATTTAGACCAGCCCGCTTCGGTAATTCAGTTTGTTAACCGCCAGAGGGCGGGCGGTGACCGCAAAATCGAATTCAACTCACCGTGAAACCCGAGATGAGCTAAAATATCACTGGATATAAAACGAGCGGCGTATTTTGGAGTTGGTAACACCAAATACGGAGGCAGATTATATATTTTCATCTTTGATGGTTTTGGAATTGAATTTAAAATGTGTTAAAGAACGGGGGCTAATATTTTTTTTTGCTTCCCAGCTGGCGTAAATTAAGAATGAGCTTTTTTGTCCAATCGCAGCCAAATAAATGTCAAATATTGAACGTCTAATGACGTGACATTACCTAATTTGTTATTGGACGAATAACTAGCGCTATCTGGTTAGCAAAAATACGGTAGGCACCATTATATTACATTCTGTGCAGTATGGTAATGGTAGAGTTAAATATAAACCACAACTTCTATTCTTGCTGTGGGTGCGTAAGAACCAACTGAAGGACACCTCGCAACAACACTCCCTGATAAACCTGAACCTTTTAAACTGCGATCGCCAACCCGCCCAGGAGAAGCGGAGATTATAGATAGTACATCCTCTTAGGTGAAGGAATCTCAGACAAGCAGTGAAGTGTCACAGGCTGCTGATGAAGATAATGATGAATAATAACAAGCTACCGTACAAGATCAAGTTTAGGAGAGCCATGCTTCCGCATGAATAGGCCGGCTCGACCGGAGCGATGCCACGGCCGAGCAGAAGACCGACGTGAAACAATGCTTATGTAGTGTTTCGTCGTGTGAGGTTACCGGGGACCCAATTACCCCCCTTCGCAATCCACTTAATTCCTGAATACTAAACAATCCCCAAATTCCTAATCCACAAAAGGCCGGTAACGCATTTGCAACGCCTCTGTTGTTTTGGGTGTCCATGGGCGGCGCCGATTGCTTACCATCAGATGATCCGTATGCTCGTTTACCGGCTTACCCGATCAAAAAAATTTGGGAGTTTAAAACCAAAACTTCTCGCTCCATTTACTACTTTTAGAATCTAGACCAAAGTTCCAATCTAGCTCGGAACCCAATAAAGAAGTAATAGTCATCCAGGGTTGAATCCTTGACCCAATGACCCAGTTAAAAATCGATGAAGGTCGTTGGCGAAATCTTTTTATTCCTGTTGAGATCGCATCGTTAGTGAAGTTTTAAGCTGAGCTAATATTGCATTTGCTCTAGTTTTTCTGGTGTAGGAGACTTATTTGAAAATAGAAATTATTAAATAATTCGTTTTTTAATTTTCATACCCTGTCATTACACATAACATTACGCCTTTTATCCCCGTGCACATTATGCCACTGTAAAATGTAACAACCACTTTTCACTATTTATGTTATGATTATTATATACCCCCTATACCATGTAATAGGGGGTGAGCCTTTTGCCATGTACCGGGCACAATTTCAGACTCCGTGCTACTACTGAGAATTTTTTTAAAACCCAGTAATACTTTGCCCGACTCGGGAATCGAACCCGAGACCCCTTGCCCGGCAGTCGCACTTGCGACCACACGGCCAACGAGGCAGTATACCCTGTCATCCCGTTCTATATCGATGATGGCATCAAGAGATATCATAGGAAGGATCAGAAAGAAGATACGAGAAGTGAAGTCAACTTACCCTGCCGGATATGCAACAAGTTCTGTGTTCGGATCGCAGTCGAGAGCAGCGTTACTGCCAACCGTCAGTCCGAGGACGCTCTCCAACTTTATCTGTGGGCAAAAGAAAACAATTGTTAATTTTACAAATCATAGTGAATGAGAGACAAGTGAGGATGGAGGCAAAATGGTGCCCTTAACCCGTGGTATGCCGGAACGTAGATCTACGCGAGACAACGTATTTTTATATACTGGCACTCAAGAGGTTAAATCAGGCTATTTTAGAATGTACAGCCCTCGTCAATGGAGAGAAAAGAGAGATCCATAAAAATTATAATATACTGAGACCAACATAACATAACGTCACGCCTTTTTATCCCCGAAGGGGTAGGCAGAGGTGCACATTATATCACTGTACAATGTAACACCCACTTTTCACTATTTATGTTATGATAGGTATATCCCATGTAATAGGGGGTGAGCCTATTGCCATATACCGGGCACAATTCCAGACTCCAAATGTTGAGTAAAAATAAATCGCTGTAATGTTTGCAAGTGCATAACTCCCAAATGACTGCACCAAATTCAACTTGTCGTCAGGATTAGTACAATGCTTTCAAGATAAAAACAATACAGTTTTCAGCTGCGGTAGTCAGCTGGACGGGTGGATTATACCTAGAGAGTGTCCTAGGCAAGAACCACAGGCACCCCTAATTTTTTGCCACTATATGGGCAGTTGTGCACGCGCGTCCCACGGCACCCATCTGTCACCTGACCCTAGGCACTTGCCAGTTTGCCTTAGGGATATTATTATTGACGTCTAAAGTGCTGCCTTGTAGCCTATTTGCAGAAATAAATTCACTTGTTTCATTTGTTTCACTTGATAATACGGCTCTGGCCAGTTGGCACAATTAGTGTATGCATAGACTCGAAACCAGTACGTATAAAACGATAGAAAATAATTTAATGCAAAATTCAAAAACAGAGACAAAATTTTTGAACCATAAATCCTCACATTTTTATAACACAGTAATAAATCTAGAATATTCTGCGTAAACTGTTAAGGTACTGTCAACCCACGATAGTATAAAATAAACCAAATATCACTTATCTAAAATTCTCAATGTCGTGTACCCAAACTCAGTAGGTATACTTACGAAATTATTTACATAATGTACTACGAACCTTAAAAGTCATAATCTTCGCGTAAATAATTTATAGCGATATTAAAAGAAATTGGATTTTCCGTTTGTTTGTGGTAGATTAAAATTATGTAATATAAATTCAAATTTTCTTTTCAGGGTGACATATATTTTTCCGGAACAACTTTACGGGTTACCTGGGCTCCATCTCGAAGTAGCTAGGCTATTCTGATTTTTTTATTTTTTTAAGGGGGGAATATCATTGTTTGCTATAAATCGTTGATCATCTATCTGTCTTGTTCATTAGAGTAGTACCGAATAAACCATCATACTGCAAAGACGTGTGTTAATTTCTAAGAAGTCCTACAATCAATACTGACCCTTAATCAATTCAACATATGGTCCAAACGAGCCGGATTACTAGAAAAATAGATAAGGACGACCCGGCGATCGGAGAACAAAAGCCGCTTGCCTGAGCCGGTTTTTTATGTGAATGACTTCTTCCGCCTGGGTGAGGCGGGAGAAGTCATGACGCGATGGCTGGGTTGTCAGGAGGCACCGCTCCACTGCCTCATGCGCCCCACCTCCTCCTTAGCTAGCATAGGCTATTCTGATAAAATGTCAATTCGAACTCTAAAAGTCAGCTCGATCGCATTCTCGCCCGTCATTGGTCGAGATTATTCTCACAACCAATGATATGGCGACCGCGATTAGCGATTAGCGCAAGAAAATAAATCTACAAACAAATAGGCTACTGCAACAGACCACTAACTACCAAAAAATCAAACAGGATATATAGAAACATATTATTATCAATCAAACTGCCTTCAACAACAATAAATAAGTTCATTTCTGCCAAACTCGGGTAAACCCGTGGGCTAGACGCTAGTTAACTAATATTTGACTATACAAGGCAGCAAGGTTGTGCTAGTTGTGCAAATATCTCGTAAACCTTGGCTGTATTAGATAAAGTTTTGTTTAAAGATGGGTGTTAGAAAGACAACGAAATGTTCGGCGAATGGTTTTTTTGTGTGTATGTTCATTACTCAGTCATGTCAAAACGGATCAAGGGACCGTGATGAAATTTAAAACAGAGGTAAATTATAGTTTGGAATAACACATATGCCACTTTTTATCCCAAAGAAACGCGAGCGAAGACTTTGGCAGAGGCCAGTTAAGAGAAAAGGTAATAAAACTACACAAGATCTCATTGAACCACTGTCTATTTGAAGTAGACCAACAAAATAAAGGTCAATCTGGAAGTCATTGGGGGAGGCCTTTGTTTAGCAGTGGACGTCCTTCGGCTGATATGATGGTGATGATAACGAACAAAATAACTTACCTTAGAGAACATTTTTTTTTATATGAGATAAGCCGGTAAACGGGCAGAGGGATCAACTGATGGTAAGCAATCGGCGTCGCCCATGGACACCCGAAAAACCAGAGGCGTTACAAGTGCGTTACCGGCCTTTTGGGAATTAGGAATTTGAGGATTGTGGGGGATTCGGGGATTGGGGAGACTGGGGAATGGGGTAATTGGGCCTCCGGTAACCTCACCTCCTGCGTGTGAGTAAGCAACTTACGATTCGAAATAACATAATGAAATACACGAGTCATGAGTCAACTTCATACATAAATAAAAGACAAAGCTCAACATAAATATTAATCAAACAAATTAGATTAACAAATAAGAGTTTATAATTAATTTGTGGGTGTTCATTACAATATAATTAGGTACTAAAAAAGGCAGGCGTGAAGTACAACATACACGGCATGTTTGTATTCCCAGAACGTATGAATGTAATGGGAGTTAACAATATCAAGGACAAGAGAATAAAAACTAATAAGAATCTCCCGACTCTCGAACAGAGAAATGAGAATTTCATTTCAAATTGATCTTAGAGAATTCTGTCGATTAAAACAAACTCAATTCAAATCAGCTTATTTATTTACAAGCATATACCAAATGTTTAAAAAGCATCAGCAAGTACTCCTAGCTTGTAGTTCTTAAACTGTTGATCCGATTTTTTTATGGAATAGGAGGCAAACGAGCAGACGGATCACCTGATGGTAAGCGTCATCCAAAACACCAGAGGAGTCACGGGTGCGTTGCCGGCCTATTAAAAAGGAATACGCTCTTTTTTTGAAAGTTTGAAGGTGTATCGGTTCGGAAATACCACCGACGAGAACTTGACATAAAATTACTTAACAAGGCTTTTGATTATAATAACCGAACCCGAATCGGTTATAACACCCTCTTTTTGCGTCGGGAGCCAAAATAAATGACCAGCTAACACTTACAACTACGATATCACTAACATCTGAACAAAATAAAGACAATGACAGAATACAATTTTATAATGAACACAAAGGACACAATATACCGGTTAACCTTGACTTACAAGGCTGGAAACAGGCTCTGATGTACGCTATGTGCATCCTTGCGTCCGCAACAAGGACGCCCGGTCCGCCATCTTAGATCAAGTGTCAAACGACCTTGACAGCGCGCGGAATTCGTACGTGGAATTCCCGATTCGGTTTTATCTTTTTTTTTTTTGTATCTCTGGCGTCTTCATTCAGCCAGTTGTGTGTGGTTAGGGTTTGTTTCTTTTTTGTTGTATGGTCTATGGAGGATGTTGAGTGGTTGCAAGGCCAGGTTCACGTATAACATTACGAGTATGTGCATCTTTGCCTAATACCTGACTCCCGTCCAGCAATTGAGAATTTTTACTGTTTTTAAACATAAACTTTTCATACTGAGTCCGACGCGTACTTGTCCAGTTTTTTGTTTCATTTAAACACTGATAATTTGATATAGTTTTAATAATGGAAAATGGAAACTACGAATAGATTTTGTATCAATATCCGTTTATAGTGATGTCGTGGCTTACTGAGAAACTGCATAAAACACAGAAGGACTATGAGAATTAATTATGTTCATGGAATGCTGATATCTTTTCTAAACACGACCATTACGATAGACTGCCGCATATCAATACTACATGATTCTGAATTAAGTATTTATAGAACAGAAGATGAAGGATCGAACAGCATAGTACTTTGTACCTACATTCATTGCAAATAAATAATCTATTCTATTCATAGTCGTCATCAGTGATAAGTGTGATGACAAGTGACTCACCACCTCTGCTCTTTCCGCGGGTGTTGCACACCAAGGGACTTCATTTTTGGTTAACAGAGGCCGGGCAGCAGAATTCTCTGAACCTTTTAATGTGCTATCTCCAACCCTGGTGCCGAATTAGAGCTGACTGATGTAAATGTAAAGAGAGCTTAATAGTCCAGATCGACCTGATGAAGATCGCAGAGTGAATACAGGTCGCTCCTAACCGGCCTATCTGGAAGTCATTGGGGGAGGCCTATGTTCAGCAATGGACGTCCTGTGGCTAATATGAGGATGATGATGATGATGATGATAATAGTCCAGGAATGAACTCTCACAAGATGTTGATGTTAAAAAATTCAAAACTAATAACTACCATCTTAATAAAACAAAACCTTATAAGATATTGACATAGTAATTATACACAGCTTTCTATTTCAATAAAAATTAATAGTGAAGGCTTATACTTTCACTGAATCGATCGATTTATATCACTCGATGAGGCATTAGGTTGATTAAAAACGTTTTTCTTAGAACCACATCACTAAAGTTGGGATGGCATGGCTGCCAAGTTGCTGTTGTATTTCATAAGCTTGGATATTTATGAATTACTAGCTTCTGCCCGCGACTTCGTACGCGTAATCCCATTTTTTCCCGTCCCCGTTCGTGATTTTCGGTAAAAAGTAAAAAATAAGTATTGGTTTAAAAGTATCCTATGTCGGTCTCCTGGCTCTAAGCTACCTCCCTACCAATTTTCAGCCAAATCTATTCTGCCGTTCTTGAGTTATAAGTGGTGTAACCAACACGACTTTCTTTTATATATATAGATGAAGTGCTTTGGATAGAATAGT